GATGAAGGAGCTCATTGCACATGAGACATGGCATTGAGTCATGTGATCAAGGTGGAGAAGATCAAGACATGACTTGGCTCGACGGACCGGTTGCAAGTGTGAAGGGCAAGTTGAGTGATGACTTGGCGCTGATGGACTGAGGGAATGGTGAAGAGCAAGTGAAGTCAAGATCGATGAACCAATATGATCACGTGATGATATGAAATGGATCATATCATTGTTGATCGTGTTGGTGCATGCGTTGCATCGACATTGGAGGAGATGGAATGGAATGCGCAAGGCAAAGGTATAACCTATGACATTTCATTTCACCGGTCATAGGTGTGTAGAGAAGTTGATGACCGGGTTTAGGATAGATGGCCGTACTATCAAGAGGAAAAAACTTGTTTGCATATTGGTCATCTAGTGCCACTCGAGTGATTTGACTTTGTATCGTTGCTAGGATCGAGTGGCGTGGCAAGTTGAGTGGCTAATCCTTTGAAAAATGATTGTGAAAATGCTAACACACATGCACATGGTGGTGTACACTTGGTGGTGTTGGCACATTTGCAAAGGAGAAGGAGTTGGAGTTGAAATGGATCAACTCGACGAAGAAACGGAGGCGAAACAGGTCACTGTGAGTGACCGGACGCTGGCCTCGGTAGGACCAGCGCGTCCGATCTAGTGGTAGCAGAGAGTGCATAGTCTCGGTCTTGTGACCGGACGCTGAGTTCGAAGTGACCGGACTCAGGGTTCCAGCGTCCGGTCAATTATAAAAGAAGGTGGTGCTCTCAGGCTCGATTTGCCCTGTGACCGGACTCGGAGAAGAAAAGTGATCGGACTCTGTCTGAACACTGTTCAGCGTCCGGTCCTGCTGACATAGGTAGGCGTGAGAGGCCAGAGAGGATCGGACACACCTGTGTGTCCGGTCACATGAGAATGGATGCATCTGGTCATGTTTTTAGCTCTCTTGGAGCTCTCTGGAAATGACCTGACGCTAAGGTGTGGTGAGTCTAGTCAAGCTAAGCAGCGTGTCCGATTGGTGGATGAAGGCGCACGTGCATTGTAGCCGTTGGCGGCAATGGTTAGTTCAAACGGCTAGTGACACATGGAAGCGCAGCCACGACCGGACGCAGGGATTGGCGCATTCGGTCAAGTGGACCTGCTCGTCTGGTCAATGCGCAGAGTGCCCAGTGAAGTGGTACAATGGCTCTATTTTTGTGGGGGCTATAAGACCAAGCATTGGTCGGCCTTTGGCTAAGAGTTGAGCACCCTTGAGCCTTGGTGGCTTGTGTAGGTGTGCTTGGGAGCCCTCTAACTTACTTGAGCTTGATAGTGTTCATCCAATCGAGTGAGTGAGTCATTCTAGTGCGATTGCATCGTGAGGTTGTATCGAGTGGCACTAGGTGATCGAGTTGCAAGCCGATGGTGCTTGTTACTCTTGGAGGTTGCCACCTCCTAGATGGATTGGTGGTGGTCTCCGTTGAAGCACGCAAAGAAGATTATGTGGTGCTCCAGAGAAGTGATTGTGAAGGGGATTGTGCTCACCCCGCGGGAGCCGCAAAGAGCAACTCTAGTAGAGCGAGACGCGAAGGGCGACAAGTGGTCCAACCGGGTCAAGTGCTAGAGCTTGTGGTAAGCACTCCACGTGGGAGAGTGTGACTTGTGGGTCACCAATAGCAAGAGGACCAACGACAACCTTGGAGCTTGTCTCAACGGGGACTAGCGTGTTGGCAAGCACGTGAACCTTGGGATAAAAATCATCGTGTCATCCTTGTATTTCCATTGGTTTGCATCCTCGTTACACAAGCTTGTATTTACTTCATTTACATTGTGCTTGTGTAGTTGCTCTTGTAATTAGTTAGCTTGTGTAGCTCACTAGTTACCTTCTTGCTTGTGTAGCATAGAAGTAGCTCCCTTGTGTGGCTAATTTGGTTTGTGTAACCTTGTTAGTCACAATGCTTAGTTTGTGTAGCTAAGTATTTGCACTCTCTAATTTGGCATTGGTTGCCTTGTTATTGAGCATTGCTAGTGAGCATAGGAGCTTTGTGCTTTTGCTTACTAGATTGTGTAGGAGCTCCCCCTGGTTGTGCAAAGTACTAGTGCATAGGTTTGTGTGGCCTTGCTCTAGAATTGATTAGGTGAGCTCTAGCTAGCCCGGCACCTTTGTTGCATAATTATGATCTTTATAAGGTGTTTGTGAACTTAGATAGAGGGGTTATAGAGGGGTGTAGTCTTGGCTAGACCGTTAGTTTTAATTCCGCATTTATCTCGGTTAGCCGACGCGTTTAATTTTAGAAAGGACTATTCATCCCCCCTCTAGTCTGCCATCTCGACCCTACACGTGCCCACCCGACCTTTGCATCGTCACCACCACCCGTGCCGCCCCCACCCTGCCCTCTATGCGTCGTCGCCCAGCTCCGTGCCGCCGGCGAGTGCTACACTGGTGACCTCCCCGCCCCGACGAGCCTCCATTCACCAAAGTAGCAAGGAGATGTTGCGCTGAAAGCGTATGTTACAAACGTATGTTTCAAGTTTTTCAGAGGTATGTTGCAAGTATTTTATATCGATGTTGCAAAAATAAGTCTAGATGTTACATATGTTGCAATGGCTATATACGTATGTTTGAAGTGTATGTTCCAAATGTTTTATCTGTTTTAGGCGTACATTGTTGCAAAAGTAGATCTGGATGATGCTTAGGTGTGCAATGGCTATACACGTATGTTGCAAGTGTATGTTCCAAATGTTTCATCTGTTTCAGACGTATGTTGAAATTGTTTCATCTAGATGTTGCAAGAGTAGATCTGGATGTTTTATCTGTTTTAGACGTATGTTGCAATTGTTTCATCTGAATGTTACAAGAGTGGATCTGGATGTTGCATATGTTTGAGTTGGGGTAGGTGGCCCACGGATTTCCAGCACGTGCGAAACCAAGCGGACGTGGGTGGTCAAGGCAGGAAGCAGCAGTGGGGTCCACGCATAGGGAAAAAATGGGTGGCACGCGTGTGGCGCGGTTATTCGTGAGAGGCGGGGTGGGCAACCCACCGAGTTTCCCGCTTGCGCGCGTGAAACGAAGCAACGGTGAGGTCCACGCATAGAGGGTGAAAAACAGGCGGCACGTGTGCGGCATGGTTATTCGCGCGAGCTTCGTCAGGATGGACGCCCGCATCCGGACGTCCGGGCACTAGCTGTATCGTATTTTGTACGGCTTTCTTACAACATAAAATGACTTATAAGAGAACAAAGGGAGTATTATGTTAGAATACGAACAAACTAAAGAGAGCAAATATAAGTAGTTTTGATTAGCTACGGACCTAGGTTTATCCAAAAATTTCTAACCTAAAATACCATCCAACCTTCATCTAAATTACTCACCTATGCTAGTATGAACAATAATAGTAACTCCCTAATCTTGAGCTAAGCTTCAACACCTATGGCTTAAATTCGCATCTAAATTAGTCATCCCTAGCATTGTTATCAAGATCCAAAAGTAACTACATGACATTCACTACTACAAAACCGAATTTCCTTGGCGGCCAAAAACCGCCAAGGAAATAGTCATTGGCGGTCAACCGTCAAGCATGAATCGCTAAGGTTAGATGGCAAGGAAAATAGAATTTCCTTGGCAGCTAGCCCTCAAGGAAGTTTTCCTTGGTTGCCAACCGCCAAGAAAAATATGGACATACAGTAGATTGCCAAGACGACAAGAAAATGAGTCGGCAGTCAAAGAAATTCATTTTCTTGGGGGTGACTAACCTCCAAGGAAATATGTTAATCGCCAAGAAAGTATGTCAAAAAAAGGTTCAAAAATCTCCAAACTCTGCGGCTACTGAGTAGCGAACTCGCAACATCAACCTTCGCATGGTTACGTCCTTACCACTGCACCTCGAAATCATTTGTGATTGAATAGCTAATGCATTACTTTTGTATTTAGTCTGGTGAATTTTGTAATGCATATTTCACACAATAAATGAATTCAAATGAAAAAAAATTGAATGGGAAAGTTTTAGATCTTTTCGAGTACTACAACTTTTATTTAGGTCATTTCTCCATTCGAGATCATTTGAAAAATTCATAAAAAATATTGATTTTTTTAAATATTTTCCTTGGCGGTTTGCAACAGCACTCAAGGAAATGGCCTTTTCCTTGGCGGTTCACAACAGCACTCAAGAAAAGTTGCATATTTTCTTGGAGGCCGGGTGGAACCGCCAAGGATACACATTTCCTTGGTTTACTACAACCCCTAAGGAAATGATAAATTCCTTGGCGGTTGGATTTTGGCAGTGAAGAAAATCCTGGACCCCCACAAGGAATTTCCATTTTGGTGTAGTGACTGTTTGTATAACCTAACATCTACATTATTCACACCTATATTATTTTTAAAGATAATCTAGAATACTTCCTTCTAAAAACTATCCACTTATGCATGTCATTGTTGATATAGGAAAACCTATCTTGATGTATCCAGGGACGATCATATATAACTATTCCATTGTAAAACACACAACTCAAAGTAAAATTTCAATTAATTAAATAAGCCAAACAGAAATTGAGGTGCGATGCAAAGAGAAAAGTATACTGAGCACTTGTTAAGTTCCTATGTGTGACATATCTATTGATTAATCAGTGCGCAAAATATGCAATGACAGTTTCGTATTTGACATGTCTTTTTATAAAAAGTTATAATATATTGCAAGCGTATGGCGTATGTTTAAAGGAATAGAAGGAGTACTGATCGAGTTAGAATATGAGCAAACTAGGGTAGTATCACATGCATAAAAACAATTTTGATATTCTATGGGGCCTAACTTCATCCAAGAATTTGTAACGCTTGTGTTGAAATTAAGAGTGCATGCAATGGGCTAATTATTATTTTATTACAAAATAATATAAGCGTGGATAAACCCATCATCGAACCCTGATCCTGCAGTTCTTGGCAACATGTCACGGTTCCTGCGCCCCAGCCGTGTTGTGCTCCTGCTTTGGACCGTCGGAGCAGCCCTCTGCTTCGTCAACAATCGTCAGTCATCGTCCATCCTCCAGAAACATTGCGGTCCTGCGCCACTGGCCACGACACGCTGGGGGACATCCCAGACTAAGCTCATGGTCATCTCGTTGTGATGAGGACCGGAGTGCACGACGACGGCGTTGCTGACGATGTCCGGGAGCTTCCCACAGAGCTCGTAGGCGATGAAGTCGTCCGGGAGCTTCGCGGCGACGCCCAGGGCCTCCGCATGCGCGATCTGCTCCAGGAGCTTGTCCTTGGAGCCTTGCTCGAACACGAACGCGTCGAACCTGTCCCGCCAGACGCGGGGCGTGTCCAAGTGGTAGGTGCGCGCCAGCGCACGCCACAGCTCCGCGGCCGTGGCGAAGCGCAGGTAGTCCGGGAGCAGGCCGATCGAAGAGCGTGGCGAGGATGTGGCCACGGCACACCGCGTCATCGCGCACCCACTTCTTGGCCGCGGCCTCATCGTTGTCGCCGCCGGCACCGGCACCGACACCGGCAAGACGGGCCTCGAAGAGTGTTAGCTAATCTACTGCCACCTTGTGTGAAACACAGCAGAGGAAGGCGGCGCCGACTTTGCCCCCTGCTGTAACATCAGCAGCTGCAGCAGTAAAAGCGCCGCACGGTTCACTGCAGCAGCAGATCAGAGGCACATGCAAATGGCGGCGCAGAGTCAGCCCTGTATGCTTATCTAGTTACTGTTACAGCATGTGCGCTGTACTTTAGTTAGATAGATAGAGTTGTATAAATAGGGCATCAAGGCAACTCGGTAAAGAGAGCTCAGATTTGCCATCACACAGACAGGGCCTCGACCAACGTTGTTGTCTTGTATTGTGCGTGCTTGCTCTGTTCTCCCTTCTTCTTCTAGCTCGATCCATAGTGTGTGGATACGGACACAACCGGTATAGTGGTCTGGGAGACTAGTAGTCTGGAGACTAGTGGTCTGGTCTGGAGACTAGTGGTCTGGTCTGGGAGACTAGTGGTCTGAAAGACTAGTGGTCTGGTCTGGGAGACTAGTGGTCTGGAGACTAGTTCACTGTCGTCAGACGGTGATCCCGTGGGCCAACAAGTGGTATCGGAGCCGTACAAGCGCCGTCATCATTCTAACCGATGGCGAGGACGGGCGGTTTGGAGTTGGGCGATGGCAGTGGCACTGTCATAGCTGCTCAGCCACTACCGGAGGTAGTTTTCCGCATGGTGCGGGAGGTCAGCGGCACCACTTGACCGACGCTGACTCGCACTAACTATGGAGAGTGGTCGGTGACCATGAAGGTCAAGCTCAGAGCCCGACGGCTCTGGAATGCTGTTGACAAGGGCACCGACGTGAAAGAAGATGACATGTCAGCGTTGAAGGCTATCCTCGCTGCTGTACTGGCGGAGTACAGGGAACCGTTGGGGACGAAGAGCTCAGCTAAGGAGGCTGGGAGGCCATTGCAGCGATGCGTGTCGGTTCCGACCGCGCAAAGAAGGCAACGGCCCAGCTTCTGAAGCAGGAGTATGCAAACCTCAAGTTCAAGGATGGTGAAATAGTGGAGGACTTTTCCCTCCGCCTGCAGACGCTCATCAATAAGCTGAAGAGCCACGGTGTCACCATCGACGAAGAGGAGGCGGTCTCCAAATTCCTCCACTCCGTACCGGCAAAGTACATCCAGATCGCTCTCTCCATAGAGACGATGCTGGACTTATCCACCCTCACCATCGAGGATGTGGCAGGCCATCTGCGGGCGGTGGACGAGCGCCTAGAGCAGGCGACAGCAACGAAGGATAGCGGGAAACTCCTGTTGACGGAAGAGGAGTGGGCTGCTCGGCGAAACTCCGGGAAGGCAGCCTCCTCCAGTCGCGGTGGCAACGGCAAACATCACGGCAGGGCTTCTTCAGAGAAGAAGCAAATCGACTCCAACGCCTGTCGGTGTTGCGGGAAGATGGGCCATTGGGCACGGGAGTGCCCAAATCGCAAGAAGGAAAAGAAGGCTCAGGCTCACCTGGCGAAAGCCGATGATGAGGATGAGGCCACTATCCTTATGGCGACATTCTGTGCACTACACGACGTCGAGGCCATGGAGAGGGAAGAGGCGACGATGGTGGAAGGATCTAGCTTAGATAGAGTTGTATAAATAGGGCACCAAGGCAACTCAGGAAAGAGAGCTTAGATTTGCCATCACACAGACAGGGCCTCGGCCAACATTGTTGTCTTGTATTGTGCGTGCTTGCTCTGTTCTCCCTTCTTCTTCTAGCTTGATCCATAGTGTGTGGGTACGGACACAACCGGTATAGTGGTCTGGGAGACTAGTAGTCTAGAGACTAGTGGTCTGGTCTGAAGACTAGTGGTCTGGTCTAGGAGACTAGTGGTCTGTGAGACTAGTGGTCTGGTCTGGGAGACTAGTGGTCTAGAGACTAGTTCACTGTCATCAGACGGTGATCCCATGGGCCAACAAAGAGCACGTGGGCGACGCCGAGGGTGCGGATGCGGAGGAGCAGAGATTCTTGGGACGAGCGTCTCTAACAAATACTCCTCTTACCTATTTTTTTTAATTACTAGCAAATATGCCCGTGCGTTACAACAGGAGAAAAAAAGTATTAAACATTTGGCAAACAACGATAAAAAATGTTATATATTTGTTTAGTTATTATGTTTTTTCATACTAGTACAGAAACGAGCTGTACTCCCGGTTGGGAAACCCCTTCAGTCCCGGTTTCCCAACCGGGAGCACGAATGCGGGACTAAAGGGTTTCTCCTTTAGTCCCGCCTTTAGCCCCGGTTGGTAATACCAACCGGGGCTAAAGAGGCCTCCCGGTCTGGCCATGTGGGCTGGCCCTTTAGTCCTGGTTGGTATTACCAACCGGGACTAAAGATGATAGAGCTGGAGTACCCGATCTTTCGGTGAGTGGAGGATAACTACGATTTGGTGGGTGTCGACCCTCACGATCCGACTACGACGAACAAGTCCGTGGCGCCTTAGCAATCGCTGAACCAACTCCCGATGGTTATTGACCTTCTCAGTGCGAGATCAACTCGATCACGAAGATCAATTCCTGCAGCAATCGAAGAACAAGCAAGAATTTGAGGTGAGCAACCACGAATATTACTCGAAGGTGGGGTTACGAATTACACGAAGACGAAGCTTGAAGTAGCAATGGCTAACTTAAGCAAAACAAAACCCCAGCCAAAGAGGGGCGCAGCCCTTGGCTAAATAGGGGAGGAGGGAGGAAGGAGGACGCTTGACCTACCCACAAGGTAGGGAATAGGCGCCCAAACAGCCACACACCATCTCCTTGATTCCCTTTCTGATTTAGATGGTGCAGCACCTTCTGGTTATTTCTTGACAAAACTAAAACACATAGGTGGCGCAGCACCTAGACATTATTCAGGCAGGTTCATCATGAGCATAGATGGCGCATGCACTTAGGAAACTTCCACGGTCCTTCATTCTTCAAAATCATCATGAAGTTTAATTCACGTGCACGAGCTCGAGTGATGGGTCCTGGTGGCGCTGTCTTTGGTTCGGGTTGGAGTAGCCATTCCCGTGTCGGTGTTGATGTCCTCATCATCCTCCCTTCTTGAATCGAAGTCGTCCTCGACGGCAGCTCCTCGACCTCGCCCGCATATGGTTTCAAATCGCAACATTAAAACTAGAGGAAACACCATAGTCTGGTAGGTCAAGTATATAAGCATTATCATTGATTTTCTTTAACACCTTGAAGGGACCCGCAGAAGACGGGGCATCAGCTTAGACCTGCGCAAACTAGGAAAGCGATCCTTGCACAAATGCAACCAAACCAAGTCACCAGGTTCAAAAGTAACAAGTTTACGTCCTTTACTACCAACAACCTGATTTTTAGCATTAGTGTGCGCAATGTTCTCTTTGTGTTTGCTCATGGATGTCCAACATTTGTTGAACACGTGCAATAGCATCGACATGTGGGGCATCCAAAGGGTCAAAGGGACAGCAAGTCAATTGGCGCCCGTGGAATGTAACCATAGACAACCTAAAAAGGGCACATTTTCGTGGAGGAATGTGTAGCACGATTGTAAGCAAACTCGACATGGGGCAAACAATCCTCCCAAAGTTTGATTCTTGTCTAACACAGCCCTAAGCATGGTAGATAAGGTTACGCTCACAACCTCGGTTTGCCCATCTGTTTGTGGGTGACAAGTGGTCTTTGAAAAGCAATTTAGTTCCTAGTTTATTCCAAAGAGATCTCCAAAAATGACTTAGGAACTTAGCATCGCGATCCGAGACTATTGTATTTGGAACACCATGTAAACGAATAATCTCATGAAAGAACAACTCAAAGATTTGCTAGTATCATCAGTTTTATGACATGGTATGAAGTGAGCCATTTTAGAGAATCGATCAACAACCACAAAGATACTATCCTCCCTTCTTAGTGCGAGAGTAAGCCCAAAACAAAATCCATAGAAATATCTAGCCAAGGAGAAGTAGGGACGTGTAACGGCATATACAAAACCGTGGTTGTTCGGGTGTGACTTAGCTTTTCGCACGTGGTGCGGCGTGCAACAAAAGCGCTCCACATCGCATGGCGCATCTGGGGCCAAAAGAAGTGCGTGGCCAAAATCTCTCGTGTCTTGTAAACACCAAAGTGTCCCATGAGGCCGCCACCATGCGCTTCTCGCAACAAAAAAAAGACGAACCGAGCTTGTGGGAATACATAGCTTGTTAGCGCGGAACAAAAACCCATCGTTACATGGAATTTACCCCATGGCCTTACCATCCTTGCAATGCAAAGCATGATGTCACGAAATCCGGGATCATCGGCGTATTGTTCTTTCACATTTGTAAACCAAAAATTTTAAAGTCTAAGCTGGGACAGCATGGTGTATCTACGCGACAAAGCATCAGCAATAATGTTGTCTTTCCCGTTCTTGTGTTTGATGATGTAAGGAAAAGACTCTATGAATTCGACCCACTTAGCATGCCGATGGTTCAGATTAGTTTGGCTACGAATATGTTTTAATGCCTCATGATCAGAATGAATTATAAACTCATGAGGCCAAAGATAGTGCTGCCATGTTTGAAGTGTGCGAACCAAAGCGAAAAGCTCCTTATCATAAGTGGAATAATTCAGACTAGCACCGCTTAATTTTTCGCTAAAGTAAGCAATCGGCTTGCCCTCTTGCAGACAAAACACCGCCTAACCCAATACCACTAGCATCGCATTCAAGTTCAAACATCTTATTGAAATCGGTAGCTGTAGTAAGGGGCATGTGTCAACTTATCTTTTAGAATGGTGAATGCCTCGTCTGTGCCGCACCCGGAGAGAAAGGAACGCCCTTCTTGGTGAGCTCATGCAACGGGCGGCAATGGAGCTGAAGTCATGCACGAACCGTCGGTAGAAACACTGCAAGCCCAAGAAAACTCCGAATCTGAATGGCTAATCGTTGGCATGGGCCAGCTACGGATGGCGTCAATCTTGTTGCTATCCACCTCAATGCCCTACGAATGA